TGTGTGTGTGTGTGTGTGTGTGTGTGTGTGTGTGCGTGTGTGTGTGTGTGTGTGTGTGTGTGTGTGTGTGTGTGTGTGTGTGTGACGGGAATTATGAATCTCCCGGCTTGGGAGGGAAGATTCGTTCCCGTTTTGCGCTCTTGAAACGCGCGCCGGAGGGCCTCTTGCAGCAGGCCAGCCTTTTCTTCCACGTTTTTGACATGTTTGAGTTTGTGTTACAGTTGCCTGGGGGTTGCCCACTCCCCTCTCATCGGGTCCCACATGTCTCCGACCGTGAAAACACCCTTCTTGGCCCAGGTGAGCCAAGGGGAGTTCGATGTTAGGGTGAAGGGGTTGCCTGATTCCTGTAGGATATGCGGGTTGTCGAAGAGAGGCTCGTAATTGCTCACAAATTACGATCCTATTCTCAGTCGAAGCCACGTAATGACCCCGGTATCTCAAGTTCTTTCGTATATGTTATCAAACTTGGCTTCCTGAGCTGCCCGACCAGCCCGGCACAGCCGTGCACCCATGCGAGGTATTAAAAAAAAAAAAAAAACAGTGGTAATGGGTGGTTGCTGCGCATGCAGAGAAGTGCCCAAATCTGCGTTTTCCACACATGCAAAGAAATGGTGATGGGAGAAGGGAGGTGGAGGACGGCAGGAGGGAGGAAGAAGATGGCAGAAAAAGAGGACCAAAGTGGCGGGAGGGACAGAGAGGATGGTGCGAGGGACGTGGGAGATGGCGGGAGGGGAAGCGGGAGGTAGCGGGAAGTAGGTGGGAGACGGCGGGATGGAGGTGGGAATGGTGGGAGGGGACGTGGAAGGCGACGGGAGGTATGTGGGAGAAGGTGGGATGGAGGTTCGATATGGCGGAAGGGTGGTGGGAAGAAGACGATGGAAAAAAGGTGAACGATGGCGGAACAGCAGGAACGAAGTCACGGGAGGGCGGTGGAGGATGGCAGAGGAGCAGGAACGAAGTGGCGGGAGAGAGGTGGAGGATCGTGAGAGCGATGAGGGAGATGGCGGGAGTGGAAGTAGGAGGTTGTGGGATGAACAAAGGAGATGGCAAGAGGGGAAGTAGGCAGGAGCGGGAGGAGTAAGAGGGAGTGGTAGGGATGAAGGAGATGGCAGGAGGGGAAGACGAAGGTAGACGACGAGGGAGGAGAAAAAGAAGACGACGAAGTAGAGAAAAAGTTAGCATTTTTTTATGAACACTGCGCTGGGGCTGCACGGGGGCCGTACAAGGGACCCGCACGACCGTGCAAGGATCCGTGCGTCCCCGGGGCACCCGTGACCATGAAAATGAAGACTAGTTCTCAAATATGTCTCAAATGGTACGTTGGGCCCGGTTACCAGCACCAGTGGCTCCTCACGAATAGATTGGAGCATAGTCACCCCTCCAAAAAAATAAGAAAAAAAAAAAAAAGGCTTCCTCTATCTGTCGTGCAGTGCCACATGTTTGGGGGATGCTTTGGTTGGGGACTTTGTCGTCGGAAAGGGTGAACCTTTCCGGGCACATAATTTTGCGGAGCAAAATTGACTATTTGCAAGCAGTCTAGTGGTTACAAAGGGATTTCGTTTCCTATAAGCAGTTGGATCAGGACTTTGAAAATTAGTGCCTTGGTCTCTCTTTTAGGGCCCACGATACCCAAACCCCCTTTGGACCTAGGCCGTGTGAGAACCTCCCGCTTCACCCTAAGCTTTTGACGCAACCTTAAACCTTGGCACTGTTTTTCCAAAAGTATGTTGTGAGGACTCTCTTCAATTTGGTGTGTTGCTGTTTACTTAGTGGCCGCACTGCCAATTTGTACCAGATGGTCGTTAGGACGACACTATTGATCGCTGAAGCGGTGTCGTAGCAAACACCCTTACAAGGGTGTTTGCTGTTGTTTTTGAAGGTCGCACTAGGTGCATCCTTAATCATAAAAGCGCACTGATGATATTGAACCCGTTGGGGCGGTCACCTCGACAACAACCTCACCTATAACGAGAGTCTGAGCCAAGTACGATCGAGATAGATAGTGTGTGGAGCACGCATTATTGCATAACACATTAAAATGATCGTTAGTTGTCGGCAATACCAGGCCGACGAATGAAGACCTCGCGCAAAGGCGCAAGCAGAAAATAAGTTTCGCCAAGAATGGTCGCATGCACGAAGCGCGATCCGTAGGGCCAGGATAAAAGTTGACAGATGAACCCATGACCCATACGGTGTCGACCGGACGAAGTGGTCTGCCGGCACGCCGACCGGACCCTGTACCTCAGGCCGTGTCTATCACCCACGGGAGGGTCGATCGGGGCTCCCGTAACCTGCAAGAAAAACAGTCAGTCGATAACCACACAAATAGAGACTGGAATCGACTTAAGACACAACCTCGAGTCTCTCACAGCCCATCGCCTGGAAGGAACAAAAAAATTATTTTCATTTAGTTCAAAATAATAGGATTCACTGCGCTACTTCTAGCCTCAGTAATAGCTCCCGCGTCCAATTCAGGAAAATTGGTCCGAGTCCCGATCGATCTTACTAACAGCCTGGGTCGGATCCTCCGCCCGATAGGGTGCCGCCGGTAACGAGCACGCTGATCCCAGGGAATCGCACTAGAACTCTCCGTGTCCGAGCTAGCTTCTCAGGCCCACTACGACCATAACTCTTGGTCTAGTTTCACCATGGACTCGCTCATGTTCCGATTCCCCTCGAAAGTCTCTACCTGGCCCCGAGAGTCGTCCGATTAGATAATACAGCCTGGTCCCAATCTCCAACCTGACCTCAATTGTCCCGTCTTGGTCGCAAATGTCTTGGTCTCATCAAATTATAGGCCTCGTCAAAGTCCTGTCAAAGTCTCGGCACCGCTAAGGTCCCGGTTTCCGTCTGTAATTCCCTGTCCGTGTCCGAGGTCCCTGTCTGTGTCCAAAGGCCCTGCTCACGTCCAAAAACCCTCTGTGCCCAAAGACTCGGTTCGGTCTGAAGGCCGACGCACCGGTCAAGTCGCGATCCGGGCAAGAGCCTGTTCCATTCAAAGTTCTGGTCCTGACATAGGCCTGGTCCCGTCAAGAATCCTGGTCCCACCAAAAGTCACATCTCAATTGAAGTCTCTGTCCCGCCCCGATTTCATGGTCTCATTTCAAAGTCCTGGCCCCGCCAAAGAGCCCTGGTCTGACCCCAGCCCCGGTCCCATCCCAAAGGCCCGGTCACGTCAAAAGTCCCATCATGCATTCAAAGAGCCGGTGTAGTCTAGTGTCCCGCTGTGCCCGAAAGGCCCGTCTCAGGTGCGCTTTCAGATGCGCTGTGCCCGACGCCCGATCTCACCTGTATGCAAGCGCACGCCACTGCTCACACCTGCGCGCGGAGCCCCTCTCGCGTCCCAATCTCGAACGCGTGCAGTGCACGTTGATGCTCGCGGTCTCTCCCCACGTCCCGATCACGTTTCGTGCAAGGGAGCCTGTGCACAGTTACGCACCAGCTCGCTCGCCCCGATGTCGTGCGGCTGTGGGCACCCTTCTTAATCCAGGCACACGCGCGTGCTGATACGCGTCGGCCGCTCCGTGTCCTGATCTGATGGTGCATGATTGCGTGCGTGTGCACACGTGATCCTCCACGCCCTTTTCGATCCGTATGCGATTGCGCACGTGTGCGCGCACGATCCCTGCGCCTTTCCCGATCCATGCCCGATTTCGCACGTGTGCGCGCGCGATCCCCTGCACTCTTCTCGATCCGTGTGTGATTGCACGCACAATTGCTGCGCCTTTCCCGATCCGTGTGTGATTTCGTGCACGATCCCCCACGCTCTTCTTGACCCGTGCGCGATTGTGTGTGTGTGCGCGCACGATCCCTCACGCTCTTCGCGATCCGTGCGAGATCGCACTCGTGTGGGCGTGTGATTCCCCATGCTCTTCTCGATCCGCGCGCACACGTGTGCTGATACGCGCCGGCCGCTCCGTGTCCCGATCCAATGGTGCGAGATTGCGTGCGTGTGCGTGCGTGATCCTCCGCACCCTTTCCGACCCAAGCGAGATTGGGCGTGTGTGCGTGTGCGATCCCCCACGCACTTCTTGATATGTGCGCAATCTTGCTAGTGGGCGCGTGCGATCCCCCACGCTCTTCTCGACCCGTGCGCGATTGCGCGTGTGGGCGCGCACGATCCCCGCGCCTTTTTCGATCCATGGGCGATTTCGGGCGTGTGCGTGTGTAACTCCGCTCTCACGTACCTGTTCGCTTGTACCTATGGCGTTCGAACGCTCTTGCTCTCCTCCCTCTCCGAGTGTTCTTTGTCTCGGATGCATCTCTGCTGGTGCGCCTGAGTACCTCTTGCCATGTGCCTCCTGAGTTCCAACTGTGTGCCTCCGCCTCCACATGCGGGAAGTGTCGAGCTCCTCTAGTGCGCCCGTAGGTGCGCATGTCGGAAGTGTCCGGATCCTGGCCCCGATTCAACTTTTATACTTCGCTGGGCCCTTTTTGAAGTATGCCCCAGCCCTCGCATGCTGCGACGCTGCCGATAAGTTGCAGCGCCCCGGTACCGTGGCTCTCCCGGCCCTATTTTGGGCCTCCGAAACGGTTTTTTAGTGAAGGGGGCCTTTTTGTCGGGTACAGGGCCTTTTGCAGCACCCTGGTACCAAGGCTCATTCCGATCCTAGGCCCAAGCTTGCCTAGGCTCTCGTGGTCCCCACATAGAAAAGTACCAAGGCCTTGCCGATTTGTGTAGGGCCCGATCCCGGATTTAATAATTCTACGGCCCGAGGCCCCTTTTCCCAGCCTTAGGCCCGCAGGTCCTTTTTGGCTTTTTACTCAGGGCCCGAATGTCAAGGTCCGTGCGTCCAAGCAGAGTTTCCTTCTCTATAATGATCCCATGATGAACTCTGATGTCAACTGCCGCTTAGTTCGCCTGAGGGTTCGCCTTAGAGCCCTACGCCCCCCTTTTGATTGGCCCATTGCTCGACATTTTCTGTAAGTCTGGCCTCTTCACTCTTGTGCCTTGCCCAAAGCCTTTGGCGTTCTCTTCCACAACCGTTGTGCTTTTATACCTTGAGCGTGACGATCCTCTGTAGTGTCCATAAAAGAATGCTCACCCATCCTTCGCGATCCGTCTTCACCTTGACGCGTCGTACCTGACACCCCTGGCATGAACCTGATATCACAATCCCTCGATGTCGACCAGACCCTTCCTGGTAATTTGGTAATGCCGATACCCTCCAGGTGTTATCTTCAAGGAAGTAAAGGGCGGCATAAGGCCGGAGCCGCCCGACAACGGGCTACACCTGAAGAAGGCCGGCGGAAGGCATCAAAGCCATAGGGCCCGTCTACCCACTTCTCGTAGTTTTTATTTGGTTTTATTTTTCTTTTATTTTACAGTGTCCCGCCTTACTTCGCTGACCGGCTCGGCCTTCTGGCGGGGCTTATCGTGGACGAGATAAAAGGTTTTACTTCCGCACGTACGGGAAGATTGTATTTTGACGACACGTTGAAAGGCGTAGTTTTTCGGCCCTAGCATATGGAGAGTCGAGAGTTTTTGGCGGTGTATGTGGCGTGCCCAACAACCAGGGTCCGAAACAGTTACAGACTTTAGCCCAGACGATGTCACCTGGCAAGCAAGAGTCTGGCCAACAGGCCAGAGTGGAGGCCTGGTTTGTGTGGTAAGCCCTGTAACGGTGTCGACACTGCTTATATCAAAGTTTGCGCCTACTTTATTCAGCCTTGGGCTTAGTTGTATTGGTTGCAGTACTGAACTTTCAAGCGACTGGTTTGGGGATCAAGGCTAACAAGCAATTATGGAGCGACGGAGCATGACCGGCGGAGACTGAGGGCTCGAGGGTCTTGAGAGACTATCTGCCTTGGTTTTCATGGACGGGCCCGGGCCTGGGTCTAACAGGCAAGACCAAGAGGGTGCCGGTAGGTCCCCGTCCTCTTCAGTTTTACTATTTTTTATTGATTTATTTTTACTTTTTTTAACTTTTTTTTTGGGTCCCTTCTTTTGACCAAACCCAGTTTTACTATTTTTTATTGATTTATTTTTACTTTTTTTAACTTTTTTTTTGGGTCCCTTCTTTTGACCAGACCCAAAACCGGCTACGGGGCTGATGGCGAAACCGACGAGCCTACCCCAATTAGTACTGTTAAAATTATGAGCGTAAGTTAGTATCAGGATAGAACTAGATGGAGTAAAGATAATCATGAGGGACCGACAACGAAGAAATACGGCGAGGGCAGGATGAAAAAAGCTTTGAAAGAGAGTTCAAAAGCGCTTGAAATTGTTAAGCAAGGAGCGGATGGAGGGAAATCGTGTATCCCCACCTGGGTAGAGGTGAACGTCAACTGCGTTGCCACCCTCCTTGTTGAGTGAAGGGTGCATACTATCATAGGCTGTAGTGACCGACGTTGCAGTAGGGAACGACTAAGAACCCGCACTGGCGGCCGGCACAACAGTCTAGGACCTTGAGCACACGTTTGTTTTGGGTTCACGGTCCGCCAACCACAATCTGTTGTCAAAGGATTTGAGTGTGAGCCTGCCATTGGGACTTGAAAGATGGCGAAATATGTCTGGGCAAAGGGAACTCTGGTAGGAGCCCACAACGATACTTACGTGCAAATCTTTCGTCAGACTTGGGTAAGGGGATGAAGACTAAATGAACCGCCTGATATCTGGTTTCCTCCAAGCTTGTGTGAATTGTTGATCGGACTTGGGTATAGGGACGAAAGCCTACTCAAATTGTTTAGTAACAGGTTCCCTCTAAAGTTTTCTGAGACCGTCAGACTGACTCCTATCGGTCTGCGTTGAGTGCTATCGAAGAAGAGAGGAGGAAAGTGAAGGGGATGATGAGGAAGAAGACAAAAGAGGTAAAAGGTGATCAATTCCGCCCGGTCCTTGACAAAATCAGGCAAGGGAAAGATTGGAGTTGGGGTCTTTTAGGTTTGCGACCCCGAATATGTACTCAAATTGACGCAAAAATTAGTGAGAGAGGAGACATAGAGAAAACAAGGTGCGCAAAGATATCGGGGATGAAGGATATGACGTAAGCAGTGAACGTGTATTATAGCCAATTCTCGTTGGAATCAACTGAAAGGAGATGTTAATCTGGGGTATTGAGGTCAGGTGAACATGATGAAGGAATCAGACTAGCGAATGGAGTGGTGTATGCAGAGGTAGAAGAGAAACGGAGTGCGCAAAGGAAATCGGGAGAGACGAGGAGAAAAAAAAAAGTTGGGAGTTGCTGGATCTTGGTCATTCTTGACCGATTCGGGCAATCCAAAAGTCGAGATAGGGGTTTTAGACCATTTCTAATCGAATGGTCATGCCAGATTTTCGATTCGGGCCATGATCTGGCCGATACAAGCACTGAATACTGCATGCAGAAGGAGTTAACTTGGCGATATATGTTGACGGATCTACATAATGGCGGGAGTATGGAAGTAGAATGGGGGGATGAAAAAGCGCAAGGAAAGGAGCGATAAAGTAGAGGAGCAGAGAGAAAGGCGAAGGATGTAGTTGGGCTTACCTGCCATATGTGCAGGTCACGGGAATAGTGATTGGAAAACATCGTTCGATGTATGTTTTACAGGTTAAGTGGAAGATTCATTCTCATTTTGCGCATTTGGCAAATTATAGTGGAACAAGGCCTACATCAAGGTCCTTGTCATCGGCGACTAAGCTTTCATCCCCTCCACGATCGAGAGCACCACTCCCTCATGTTTGCACTCAGCATCGTTCTGCGTAGCCACTTTTACTCATCGTGATTGTAGTCGTGATTATCCTGCTCGCGACATCCTCGTCTTTGTATTTGTGCCCGCCTGTGGATTACGCCCGGGTTCTTTGTGGTGTGTTCATCTTGTATGTCGTGGTGGTAATCTGCTTCGCACCTGCAGCCCCTCACACCTTCCTTAAGCTCGAAGTCGCTCCATCTTGGATTTGATCTTGTCGTTCGTCTCAAGGTTGCGTTTCATTAAGTTGGTGGAGAGTTGTAGGAATCTGGCCAAAATTACTGCTAGGTGCTTTTAAAATGGAGTTAAGCAAGAGCGACAAGAAGGAAGCAAGAGGAAAGAGAGCAGTAGGGAGGCGGTAATGGAAGGAATGACTTTATAAGAAGGAAGTAAAAGTTGAGCGGAGAGCGAGGAGAGGAGGGATACAAAGGTACATTGAGGTGAGAGGTGAGAGGTGAGAGTGCCGATTAGAAATGTGAAAGAGGTCAATGGAGTACGAAGACGAGTGCAACACTTGGCGATGTATCTTCCCATGTTCCACTGGAAGATTCATTCTCAATAAGCATATTTGGGTGAGTAGTGGAGCGACGTTGTAGATTGTTGTTACTATGGCCGACTTGTTATTGTAGTTGTCGCCGACTTGTCGCCCTGTCCGAAGTTGGGATCGTGTTCATCATCACCTTCAAGGTTGACGACATGCTTGTTATCACCTTCTTGCTACAAAGATCGATGCACAAAGTCGTGATCTGCATCCTTGTAGTCGTATTTGCCTTCTTATTTGTAGTAGTAATATGTCAGCTCATGATCGCCCTTACGTCGTGTTTGTTATATCACGGCCGCCTCCCTCGAAGGAGTCAGATGCCTCATCCGAGCGACCACTGGACAAAAAGTTAGTCGTTGTAGGAACTGCGTGGATAAGGTCGGGAGCGGCGACCGAGTGTGCAGAGTGAGAAAAGATTAAGGACGAGTTGAAGCTCCTCAGGTCCATTGTTGTATATCTCGTCACTGTGGTATTGTCTGGCTTCCCATAATAATCACATTCATTGAGATTGGTGTAACTTCCCAGGTTCTAGCGGAAGACTCATTCTCATTTTGTACCGTTGGTATGTGGTAACCCCATTGCTACTTGTGGTCATCGTCCATGCCTAGGCGTTGCTCGTCATTTCAATTCGTCGCTGCTTGTCATCATACCGTATTTAGTCATGGTCACATGCTGCTTGGAATTGTGTTGTTCTTCGTAGTCGCCTATCCCGCACGTGCTAATCTACCTGATCTGTGTTCTAAGCTTTGTTCATTGTTATTTCATTGTGTCTGTGCCCTCCATCTCCATAACTGACAATTTTCTCAAAATCTTGAGTTGAACTTGGCCATGCATATGGCCGGGTGCAGTTGTGACTCGTTGGAGACTGTAAAAAGGAGAATGAGGAGGAAGAGAGGGCTTACCTGGTGTGAAGCCTGAGTCTGACAATAAACTAGGGGGAGGTTTGTTGCTAAATTGCACATGGAATGGAATAACAGAGCATTGGTAGTGTTTAGCCAAGCTAGTCATTTAGCAGAAATCTAGTTCGTATTCGTTCTGCAATGAGCCCAGACGTGATGATACTCGTCAACATTACCAGTCCCTATGATTATCGATCTGCTGATGAAATGACAAACAATCGTAATATGT